CTCAACTCACACCTCACCACTCAACTCACCCCTCACCACTCAACTCACCACTCAACTCACCCCTCACCACTCACCTCACCCCTCACCTCACCACTCAACTCACCCCTCACCACACACCTCACCTCACACCTCACCACTCAACTCACCCCTCACCACTCAACTCACACCTCACCACTCAACTGACCACCACTCAACTGACCCCTCACCACTGACCTCACCCCTCAACTCACCACTGACCTCACCACTCAACTCACCCCTCACCACTCACCTCACCCCTCAACACTGACCTCACCACTCAACTCACCCCTCAACTGACCACCACTCAACTGACCCCTCACCACTGACCTCACCACTCAACTCACACCTCACCACTGACCTCACCACTCAACTCACACCTCACCACTCAACTGACCACCCCTCAACTCACACCTCAACTCACCCCTCACTACTCAACTGACCTCACCACTCAACTCACACCTCATCTCACCCCTCACCTCAGCCTTCCTGAAGTAAATGAACAAGTATCTGTATTTTGTATAGAAGACCTATATCTAGAGAAGACTCCTGCCGTTCATTTGCCACCATACCTCCAACCTCACCTGTAGACAGCAGATCACCGCTCACACACATCTCTTCTTCTTCCTCTTTAACCTCGACCTTTATATACATTTTGTCTTCACCCTAAACCAGAAGAATGACAGAAAAATGAGACCTTCAAATGTGTGAGTACCCATCACCTAAGACTACACGGAAGAACATAGTCTCACTCAGTCTAGAGTGGCTTGAGTTCTGTGTACCTGATCATGGTGGGGGAGGGTGAGATCTTCCTGGGTGGGATCCCGGGAATACAGGGGGCGGGGACATCTCTCTGGTGGGTTCCTCTTACTGGATCCATCTGTAGGAGACACACACACTGACTGAATACATTGTTTCTATGTGTGTATCAGATGATGGGGGATGTAGGCGGAGCCTCCGTACTGCTCTCTCCTCTTACCCGGTGATGTGAGGGGCGGCTCATTCTCCATCACCACGCCCTTGTGGAGATCATCTCACCGGATTGTATGAATGTTTACAATAATCCGTACACCAGAACATTGTGTTTAGTCTTTACCTGAGCCGGTATCTAGAGAAGGTTTCTCCGGTTTACTAGTCGCCACCATCCCGACCTTCTCGGTAGAGAGCCGACCATCCATCGCGTACATCTCATCTTCTTCCTCTTTAACCTCAACCTTCATGTCCATCTCATCTTCATCCTAGACCAAAGCAGTGGTGGAGAATAACACCTTCAACTTCTATGGGACATTATAGCGTGGGCATGGAAGGGTCTGGAAGACATGTCTACATGCAGGATGTAAACACCACTTGAGACCACAACTGCCGCAGAGAGGAAAGTATGGATTGGGTGTGT